AGCAGTTGATCGTTCATAAGTCAAAAATTTCTCTTAGTCTAATAGATTCAGTGCCTGTGTACTAAACTTTTTGGTGACTAACTATCGATCACTTAATAAGACTAAACTAAAATGTATTATCAAATAAACCGTGACTGTTAAATAGAAGAAGTCTGAACTTACCATTCCTAGGAGTCGGTGTGATTCCCGCTCCGCTGGACGAATAAGGGGCATCGTGGGTGGGAATAAGAGGCGGGCTGTAAGGCTGTCTTCTAGGTGTAGACCACAAGTTGGCTGAGTCCATCCCGGTCACACGAGTTAATAGAAAAGATAAAACGGATGAAACTGTAAAACAAAGCCGCAGCCAATTTCCCGTTAAAACCGGTAGTGGGCCTCTCAGCAAAAGCTGAGGCAATTCAACCAGCTGACTCGCGTGTAAGTTTACTTAATAATTGCATGCACGTGCGGCCCAGTACTTGTCAGAGTGATCTTCACTTCGTGCTTAAGTAGCCAATAAAAACCGACTGTGAACTGCAGCCCGAAAGTTCATCCGCATAACCATCACCACCACCCCAGTTCGAACGGTGGCACATGCGCCCGAATGAACTGTCGACCCCCCCTTTCAACCTCAGTCGAAGTCATGTCGTGGCTGAATCAGTGAGCGTTCATCAAAAACTTTAAGGCCTAAATCGATCCACGCGCACTGGCGGGATCGGGAGAAAGATAACGGATGTATGTGAATATTGATTCACTGATCGACATTGCTCGAAATGCGCTGTTGATCGATCTAATGTCTTGATAGTTACTCGAATCAAATTTTGCGTTTGGGGAGTTCATGCACACATTGTACGGCTGCACAAGTCAAGTTGGTTGCCTGATTTACCCGTTTTTAAAAAGACATGTTGTATCATGAAGATAGTCGAAAGGGCATGACTTGAGCAAGTGCATATATCGGTAATCGAACGATACTCGAAAATGTCAGAAATTACTGTCTCGTTCGAGGCTGGATAATAGAAAACAGCTTGACGTGTCAGAAATTGCACTGGTTGTCTTGATATTCTGAAAACATACTCAAAATAACTCAATGTTTTAAGGATCTATCCAAGAACTCACTATATCAAAGGCAATTTCCTAGAATGAAATAACAAACGAATGAATTGATACTTCGTGAAAACCTTGTCGGTGTCCATCGGTATAATTAATAAAATCATGAAGGAAATTTGCGGCAGGATCACTCAAAATGATCTTCATATAATCATGTGGAAGTCACTTTGTGTAAAAGGAAATGCTCCCATTTCTCACATAGCACTTAGAAATTTTGAGGAAAGATGTCATGATTACAGTGTTTATTTTTCAAAGCAGTGTGGGAGAATTCATGGAAA